CATGCATACATACAGTATTGGGGAAAATAATGAAACATCCTCTCAGTTTATTGTAAACCATAGGGGAATAAACCAAACATACTGTATCTAGATTTAAAATAACACAATACGTGACAAATAAAAAGGCAAGAGTTAGAGGGATTCCTTTCTCTCTGTGGCAGCTGAGCTTAGGACTGGAGGCGACTGAATGACATTGGTACAGATTGGATTTATCCTATGGGTATACTGATGTTATTTCAAACCTAGATACATTTGGGTTATTCCCCTATGGCTTTGAGTAAACTGAGATTATGGTTCATTCTTTTCCACAACACACATATATGTGTAAACCACTGACTGATTGTAACTATATAGGATTAGTGGTAAACACACGTAGTCTTATATAATATAACATTATATTATCTTAGTTTTAAAGTAATAATATGCAACATATACCCTTTGGGTTGCATTTTTCTGTCACTTTGTAATCAAAGCCTCTGCACAATATCCTTAATGGTTCCTGGGGAGACATTCATAATTGAGAATACAGGTCTTAATTGAGAATTAATTTCTTAATACATATTATTGTGAGTAACTTAGTTGATACATACTATATACACTGAGTGGCCAGTTCATTATGACCACCTGACATTTGTAGGCAAATTAGCTATAATTAGCTTTAATTTCGCGCTGAAGTTGCTAGAGGGCCAGACCATTATAAATAGGGAAGCAGGTTGTTTACCACGACAGTAGAAGTTATTTTTTTCTGAAGATATGGGTAAACAACGCGATTTAACAGTCTTTGAACGTGGGATGATTGTTGGCGCGAGCCATGGAGCGAGTGTCAGCAAAACAGCAGAATTTGTTAAATGTTCAAGAGCAGCTGTTGTTAAAGTGTTTAAAGACTTGGCTGTCAGCCGAAAATCTGGGTCTGAACGTGCGAATTGTGGCCGTCAGTGACTAGTCAATATTGCGGCAGAACGGAGAGTGGCAAGACTGGTACAAAACAACAGAAGGGCAACAATGCAGTGTCAGATTCCTCGCATCACCTTTCAACATCTCGTGGAGTCACGAGGCGGCCCAATAAAGTCATCTCGTGGAGTTATCTCGTGGCCCAACGAAGTACTGATGGGGTGGTCATAATAATCTGGCCACTCAGTGTAGTCTAATTTTGTTTGAATTTTAAGTTTGAATTTGATGAATATTTTTGATGTATGACTTATACATCTATGCATCTATAGGCACAGCACCTAAACTAGGCTATCCTATAAAATGATTGGAGTAGATATAAGGTATTTATACACTGTAACAGTTGGATTTTTAGGTTACAACCAGGATGTCATTTTTGAACATGGAAATATATACTTAAAACAGATGGGTTTGTGTTTTGAATAAAAATAACTACATTTTTACATTTATATATTCTTGTATCTTTGGTACCGGAAAGATCCCCAAAAGGCAAAAGGGTTTTTGAGGTTTACTATACACATACTCTTTCTGCAGGCTTTTGATTGGTTGACTATATAGATCAGCAGTCCATAAATTGCAGTCCATAGGCCAGTTGCAGCCCACTTAATGCCCTAGGCTGGCCCCTGCAATGAGAGGGCCCTGCATGAAGAACTTTCTCATTGCAAGCTGTGGTGGGGGAGCCGCTGTATTCAAAGTGGCAGTGAATACCAGCACCCGATAATTTAAAAGGTACAATCGGGTGGAGTGATCTCCTTCCTGATGGTGCCTTTATAGTCCTGGCTGTGACATCACTGACGTGGGACATGGAGTCTGCAAGATAAGTCTCATTGAACATCAATGGTGGGGCACTCCCAATGACCACTTACACATGTGTAGCATCCATCCTTCTTACAGAGGGGAATCATTTATCCCACTGACACAAGGACACCATTCCTCCCAATGGCAAAGGGGGACCATTCCTTACTCTGACAAAGGGGCACCATTTCCCCACTCACCACTGATGCAGGGGTATTTATTACTCCTACTAACGCAGAGGCATTTATCACTTCCACTGACATGGGCACATTTTGCACTCCTACTGACAATATCAGTCTTCATTGAACCCAGTTTGCCAACATACCTGCTAATTATTCTGTCCACATTGTGGTCCTTTTTATGCCTTACATACATTGATTAGCTTAGATATCAGTATCGCAGTGTATGAGCTCCCATAGTAAGCAGATTTACATTTTCTGCTGATGCTCTTTTTATATACCAGGTTTATATTTCTGTGCAACAGAATCTCAGTGATAAGCTCTATCGCATATCATATGTAATAAATGTTGTCAGTGTGTAGGTGGAATTTCTTCCGTCAAACATTATCTATCAAGTCGGAATTTTTGTCTTTTCTGCATATGATAATGCTAAGGCTTCTATGCCAGGACTTACTAAAAGACTACATACTACATATAATTGAACACAGTAATTACATGGATCTAGCAAGAAATCTAAAGCTTTAACACAAATCTAGATAGAAAGTATTCAAGTATCAATTCTCACTAAGGGATTAGCTCAGGACTGTTTATTATAACATAGCACAATTACTGATCTGAACACTTCCATAGTGTGCTTTTAGATTTCTTCAGAATTCTAATATCATGCTATTATGCCACCATCGTTTGTATACACACATTCAATGGTAATCAACTATCAGCAGGGTAAAATGTTTCAATGAAGCAAATAGTGATATTATACTGGCTGAATAGAATATATACTATACCTACATACACCACTAAATTTTAATCCTGTAATCTTGATATACGCACAAACACGTCTTGTTAAATCAGCTACTGTTCTTGAAGGAATTAGTTGTAAAGGGCTGTCATTCCGTTAGAATAGTGTTTCTCAACTGTAGTGCTTACAGAAGACCCCAGGTATTTGAAAACTTAAAACTTGCAGTGGGTCTACCCCCACACTGCAAGGATTAAATGCTCATTTTGTCTAGGGAGCGAAAATAATCCTTGGTCCTGCTAGACTGGTCCCTGCAGCCTCTTCTCCCCTGGGCTTCGGTGGTCTAAGGATCTGTCATCACGTCTAATACAGTGTATTAAACATGAAGACGTCGAGGGAGATACCACAGCTGGATCAAAGGGAGAAAGAGGTGAGCGTTCACTGCCGCAGGATCGATAAGTATATCTTCTTTATAATCACCCCTAAAGAAAAACAAGCAGTTAACCCTTGCAGCGTGGGGGTACCCCCACTACAAGGGTTAACTTTTCAAATTCCTGTACATCTTCTTTATCTACCTGAGCCACTTGGTTGCTTTCAGCTGCTGTAGGGCTATTGTACAGTAGCCCTTCGATTTAAATGAACAGAAGGGCTCTGGCAGCCGAAGCAAGCTGAAGGATCAGCCAAAGCTAGGGCTAGATCCTTCAGCTCAATAGTGAATAACCCTCACTGATTCAGAACGCTTACCCTACAGTTTGGTCAAGCTGGTTATCTAGATGTAGTTTGAGTAGGCTTTTATTCATATCATACCAGTGCTCTATTAGTGTGATGACATGTACAGTATACTGGGCATATGTAGAGATTTCCATGGAAGGTCATTGGAAATGTTAATGTATCATAAGAGATAGGAGTTCAGGTTGGGCCATAATAGATTTTCAGTAAGAATTAAAGTCATCCCATCCATTAGAGCCTGGATTCCATTTCTTTTTCTTCATCAAACAGGCATTGGTGTGCTCTTCTGGTCAACTAAGAGTTTAAAATTTGTATTGAGGATAAATGCTTACAATTGTGTATTGGATGCACATTATATTGTAGGCCATATATATTCTTAATCAAAATAAACTATTTTCATAATTTACATTGACAGATGTATTAGAACTTAATTCTTTGTTTACAGTTTGGAATTTCATTTATCTTACTCATGCCAGGAATATGTAATGTTTATTGCATTAGAGCAGAAAATGTCAGGTACTCTTTAACCTATGGTTTTCCCAATGTCACACTCAAATTAAATCTATTCATTTCTAATAACACTGCATTGAAAGACAATAGTAAGTTTTTCTCTGGCCAGGACGTTGTAGTATCTGCCATAAGTTAGAAATTATTTTTAACAGGGATACTAGATCTAGGATTATGAACACTGTTGCATATAAGCTAGACATTTTGTAGAATTTGCACAATCTCTAGAGATGTATTATGGCAGGACATTCCATGTTCAAACCATGCCATGGATATTATACTCTGGCGCCCTAACACTCTATATGACTAACAATGGGTCCTGGGTTCCAATCCCACCAGGGATGCTGTCTAAATTTGTATGTTCTGGTCTTTAGGTTAAAGTTTTCCTTGGGCTTTGCAATGCTTGTTCTGCAAACACAGGGCACGTGTCCAAATTGGTGCTAGTGGGTGTGTATGAGTGTGCAGGCATGTTAAATAGTGGTTTCTCTGAGGAACGGGATATGAGGTAAATGGGATATTAAATGACAGTCATCGCCAGTAGGAGAATCTGTTATGAAAGGGATATGTGATTGTAGTGTCTCCCTAGAGGCAGGGTCTGATGTGAATGGGATATTAGAGGCAGGGTCTGATGTGAATGCAATATTAACTAGTAGCGTCCCTCCCAGAAGCAATGTAAATTATATATTAAATAGTATAGCAAAATGCTGAATAACACGTTGTTGCTATAAATATATTAAATCAACTTAGATATGTTATGCTTGTATTGTACAGAAGGTGTGTAGAACAGTTTACAATATATAATTGCTTGCATTGGAAGGATTTTAAAATGTGTTGATTGACAGGTGAAAAAAAAGAGAAACATTGTAAGACTGTTTTTTATAATAGGTTGGAAATGTAAATTTCACAAAGCCAGATATACAAATAGTAAACCATTATCATAAAATCCAAATTAATTAAACATTTTCAGTGCAGATAGATATCTTACAAGGGTTTTCTATATTATATTTTACTAAATCCTAACTCATGTGTGATGCAAATGAAACAATAAAAACTACTACTACTACTACAGTAACGTGTGTGTGTATATAAAAATAGTAGTTTCTTACTTTCTTCAGAAAGGTCATTCTCCTCTGCTTCCCTCTCCATGTCCTTACACCATTCTTCCATTCTTTTGGTTTCTGCATGGAGCAACTTCATAAACCATGTGCCATCTTGTCGACTAGGAGATATCCGGCCTGAATCCACCGGTTCATGAGCAGGCTCCAGCCATGGGTCTGGTGGTGGCAAATTTGATGTGTCCACTGGGGTCCTATAATCCTCTCTGTAACTAAACAGTCCCTGAGTCCGTACTGTTCTTACTGCACCATACTGAGTTGGGGTGCTAGGTTCAGAATGTCTTTGAAACGAAGATCCAAACTGGAGACCTTTATCCTCCATGGTGATGTGACCTGGGAAGCCCTCTAATTCAAGGTCTGCTTGTACAGCTGCTGTCACACTGTTTGACCTCTTGAAACGTCCTTGCCTAAACAGATAAAAGCAAAGAAAGATCACTAGAAACTTGATTCCTTGTTCACAATGGCATCTAAATGTGGTGCCTTGCTGCATCCCTGACCCATGTCAACACTTCCCCTCCACCCATTCTAAAGTCTGCTCTGAGCTAAGTGACTTAGAATATCAAATATAGCCTGCCAGGAATAGCTTAATTTCAGAACACCAGCACTACTTCCTGAGCTACTACAATTTAAGGGGGTTACAAGGGGATATACATCATATTTATTGAGTTGCAAATGTCCCAGGACAACAATGTTTCAGGCGGACTTCCTTCCTTCAAAGGGTACATATCTGCACTCTGCAGATGGGACTTTAGTCGTGTAGTTTATAACAAAGTAGGAAAAACAGGGTTTTTTTCAACATTTTCAGTACTTTTTTCTTTATATAGTAAAAAATAAAAACCACAGTGGTGATTAAATACCACTAAAGGAAAACTCGATGTGTTCCCAAAAAAATGGTATAACATTAATTTCAGTACAGCGTTGCATGACGGAATAAATGTCAGTCAAAGTACCGCAGTGATAAATACTGAAAAGTGGCCTGGACAGGAAGGGGGTATAAACACCTCGGTCATCAAGTGGTTAATATAGTTTATACAGTCTTCAAATACTTAGAAAAGCCATAGAATTAAGTTTCCTCAATTGAATACTGAAACAAGCAATCATGATGCTTTGTAGCATGCAGTAGCCTGGAGAAGTCAGAATTTACAATGTTAAAAGTCAAATCAGTTTAGAGATTATTTTTAATTGGTTATTATGGGTTGCTACAAACTGTACAACAGTTTTGTTCTTTTTTTTATTGCATAAACCTGTAGAAAACTAAAATAGTATTCAGTCACATAAAAAGACAGGGGTATATAACAAAATAAACTACAACCAAAGATTAAGGTATAAATTAGCCTTCAGTCGTGCAACACAATTTCTAGTGGATTTTACCTTTTTATATCTTCCACTTGCACCCCAACAGAATGATATTCTCTTGCTTTGCTTTCTGTATCAGAATCAGCTGCTTCCACCTAATTTAACAAAGAAGGTAAGAATAACTAGTAAAATGCATTTAGCATAAGTATTATACACTTGCATTTTGCAAGTGTAAGGATCCAGGAGCTGTGTAGCTCAAAAAGTATTGTATATGCAATAATGAGAGAGCTTAGGTTCAGGTACTTTATAACTGCTGAAATGGGGACAATATGTTGACTTAACACAGTGCAGAGTAGGAAGCAGTCAGTCAAGAATATAAGGTAAGATGTTCCTAATGTGGCGCCACTTATCCTTCTAATTGGCTGCATAAAAACTGAGTCTAGGAAACAGCTGCTTTTTTTTCAAGCTGCTCTTTAAAGCTCAGTGATAAGTAGTGAACTCTACCTGCATTGTATAATAAGAGCTAAAACACTTTCTTAAAGTGTATCTGAATTGAAGAACAAATATATAATCTATTGCAGGCTTTTCCCCTCTATTTTGTCCTCTCCAGTAACATACTTCCTGTCCTAGGCAACAACGCACACGCTCTCTATACTGTATCTATAAAGGAGCAGTGTTGTCACCCTAGGACAGTGTAATAATAATACATTTTTTTAGTGGTTGTTGATTTACAAGGAACTTGTAAATCTAGCTCCCTCATCAACTCCTCCCATGCCTCCAGGACTTCTCTAGAGTTTCACCCATCCTTTGGAACTCCCTACCCCAACTTGTCTATCTCGTACTCTGGCTGCCTTTAGGCGATCCCTGAAGACTCATCTCTACAGGGAAGCCTATTTCTCCTCAACCTAACCACTGAACTATCACTTTCTCAAACATTTCCTCCCCACACAGCTACCTCCTCATGTATCACTTGCCCCTCCCTTTTAGATTGTAAGCTTGTAACCACCCCCTGCGGCACCCTGCGCCACCCCCTGAACAGCCCCATTCACCTGCTGGCTCACTTCTGCAGCCGACAAGTGAAATTAAGTAGACGGGAGAAATAGCCAGAGTTCTATTGGTTATTTCAAATTGCAATAGCCAATAGCAGGCTAGCTATCGAAACCCTGCCCACTGAGCAGAGGAGCGGCACTGAGAGAAAGTTATGTGAATCGAAATTCAGGATTTTGTTACGCCAGCACATATGTTTGTAGCCTGCACCTGATTGATGTGACTGGTTGGGTCAATGTTGTCCGACTTTTGGGATTGAGCAGTGTATACTTTGAAATTCAATGGTTATACTTATTTAGTTTATCATCGCTAATATCTATATACTATACCCAAGCTAAGGACATTTCTTTTATTATTCTACTACTTGTAAGTTGTTTGAATCATTGCACTACACCCACAAATCTGAACGGTTAAGCAGATGAACTTGTTAAATAAATAAATGTATACATAAATAAATGTATCAGGGAGTTTAACCCTTTGTTACAGACAGGACTATAGACCACCTCCCTCCTTTTTTTAATATCCTAGGCAGAGGTGCTTCATAGTCCACAGAGATAGCAGGAAACAATGCTAACTGATAACAGTCAGTAGAGGCAGAGAGCACAGGCAGTTATCAGCTCCCCAAATTTCTGGTAGGATCAACTAATAATGTTTTGCATTTATTGAACAGGTAAACAAAATCCTTTTAACTGAATACAGTATATAGTGTACGCAAATAGGAAAAGTCAATTGTTAGGGTTTACAGGCACATTAAAGCATCTGAACCTTGGCAAATTAAACTGAACATATGATAAAAAAAACTGCACAGAGAATACATTTAGTAAAAACATGTGCATTTGCTGCCTTCTCGGCTGCTTGGTCTCTGCCTGCAGTCCAGAGTTCTCCTTCCCTCAGGCTGCCAATATGTTCAGACACACAGACACTCCCGGCCACCATGGAGAGAAACACTGCTTTTTGTTTTTTTTTTATTCTGACACCGAGCCGTGTCAGAATAGAAAAAAAAATGTGCCCATAGGAATGCATTGCTAGATTCCTATTGGCTATTTCAATTTGCAATAGCAAATTGCCCAAGATAAAATCTTGCACCAGGGCCCTTTGGTTATTAGGTCCGCCACTGAGCCAATACATACGACATTTAAAAAGATCACCAAATTCCATGAGATCAATCATTCCTCTGTAAGGAAAATAATCTACAAGTGGCGTAGATTGCAAAATTACTGTTAATTGGCCTTTCCAGGAAATTCAGCCCAAGAGCTGACCATTTGACGCTAAAAAAAATCCAAAGTACCCTAAACTTTCAGTTTTGGGATCTGCAGCTAACTCTTGAGACAGTTGGTGTCAACTGCATGCATCTACATTTAGAAATCACTGAACCAATTTTACCTGCAAGGAGCTATGCCAGGAAATAGCCTTTGCTGTCCAATAGGGATGAGGTTCGCATTTGCAGCCCTGTAGGTTTCACACTGAACTTTGCATATTTGTAATGCAAAAACTAAATGGACAGATTTAACCTGGAAGCTCTGCTGACTTGTTTCAAATTGTAAACAAGCTAGGAGGCATCCTGGATGATGTGATTAACCAAATATGCTCAATACCATATTTGATCAATGATATCAGCCAGGTTCCCAGATGCTACTGTTTGCAAGTGCTGGGGATCGGTCACTTGCTGTGGGAGTCCGTAGGGTGAAGATCGCTGTGAGAGTCTGTAGGGTGAAGATTGCCATGAGAGTCTGTAGGGTGAAGATCATCTTGCATGGGTTGGCGGGGTGCTGTTTATTGTGACTGAAGATGGATCTACATTGGTGGATGACCAATTGACATTGGATCTGCATTGTGGGAGACATTATTTAGAGATTTGTAATAAAAGAAATGTTAAGGTGTGTGTGTTTATTTACATTCTAGATTTTTTTTTGTGAATGAGTAACCAGTTACAGATTTTGAAAAGCCGTCTGCTGCATGCATATTTGCTTTTGAGGAACATGCTGATAGGTGGGAAGAACAGAGTTAACGGAGGGAGGAGCTCATCAGTGTGCTGCTGCTGTTTCAGTGTCCAGTCACATGTTGGGGTCAGCTAGGTGTCCATGCTGTTTTTCTTAAAGCTGAACTTCAGGTACCAAAACTTGAATTCAAATATATTTATCAATCATAACAGAGGATACAAATCCACTTTGTGTGTACCAATTACCTTTGAAAACCCAAATATTACCAAATAAGCTCAGCAGTGACATCATCACTGATCAGTGCATAACATTAACTGCTGAGAGCAGAACTATGGGCATGCCCACATACTACAGGCTGCCTGCAGAAAACTACAGGGGGTGGTTACAATACCAGTCACCCTGCAAGAAGAAAGAGAGCAGCAGTGACTGGTCTTTATTACATGAAGCTCCTGCTCAGAGGCAAAATTTTACAATGGATTGCACAGATCTGGAACACATATACAAAGAAATATTCACCAAGATTCAAGTAAGAATACACATGCCTCTTATCTTTAGACAATATTTGCTTACCCCGGAGTTCAGCTTTAACTGCAGTAAAGGTTAGTTCACCAACCTGGCTGTGCTATCTGGGAGGGCTGTGTACATTTCAGGAGTTGATAAACACCAGCAAATTCTTTGAAAGGCAATACCAACATCATTATATTTATCTCAAGCATTTATTAAGCTGATTGTATGTTGAGGGTCTAGTGAAGAAATTAGCCTGAAACTATGATGCAAATATAATATCCTTTTTTTTGTGATCCTTTTTAGCGCAGGTTTGGATTACTGAAGAAGTATGTCATTTTCAGGTCAGTGCAGCAAACAGATTTCAACAAATAGCTAACAGTGTTTCACAAAGTGTCAAGCAAACGATTATTAATGAGGTGTGTACGTGATACATTTGAGTTTTTTGAGAGCATCTGACCTAATAAAATCATTATTTATGTTGCAGCGACTTTCATTCACTTAACCTCAAGGAGTTTAATTATTAAGATGAATTACTTAGGCTTCAGAGACTATTCTAGGGATGAATCCTAGTTAAAATTATGGTTTTAACATAATTTCTTTTTTTTATTCAGTGGATACAGGAGGCTTTTGTAATCCTTTAATAGTTTTTTCATAAACATTTACCTGGGCATATTGATTTTTCAAAAATACTAGACTTAGTTATGCAAATTGTACTACACCTGAGGGCAAAGTTATTAGAATATAAATCATAGTAATATATCATTGGAATGGTGCTCCTTACACTAAAAAAAAGTAAGGCAAAAGATAATGTTGCGATTAAATGGATTATTTAAAATGGCTGTTTACACAGGAATACTGAATATTTAAGCTAGCAGAAAGGAAAAGGCTATGACAAAAGTCTGGAGATAATTATGGTGAATGCGTAGACATAACTGGTAATCTTTAAAAGAAGACTTTTAAAATATTATTATTAATGTGTGTTAATGGTTGATTACCTTATTAATGTATTTTAAAAACTCCAGAAAGTCCACACACATTTGTATTACTGCATTTGACACACATTCACCAACAACCACCAAATATACAATAGGGTGAATGTGCCAGTAGTCATTGTTTTCCGTAGCAAATGTGCAACACAGTAATTTTTAGGAAAATCTGCAGAAAACATTTATAAATCGCACACAATGCAGATTTTGATTTAGCGCAATGGTGGTTATTGTCTGTTCTTGGAAAAAGTATTTTACCCAGGTTTCCTAGTCGTGTGGCATGATACAAGTTGGTTCATTTTGTGAGTCTATAGCAGTGGTTCTCAACCTGTGGGTCGCTGTGTGATTTCTGCTGTGCTAGGTGAGAGTCCTCCTCAGCCCTCTCCTAGCGCAGCAGTGTCAGTTCTCCCGCCACGCCGCCAGATGTCACTGCAGCAGCCATGTCAACCCTAAATTTTACCGTTGGGGGTCACCACAACTTGGCAAATGTTACCAAGGGGTCCTGGCCCTAGAAAGGTTGAGAACCACTGGTCTATAGAATATAATATTTTAATATAGTAAGAAATATGAATCAAACCCTAGAAATGTATTTGTTGTATTACAGCTGTGTCTCTGCATTTATATAACCCAATTTAAAATGGAGAGTGGATACTGCTGTCCTCTCTTAGGTGGACA